ACCACTGGCAAGTCCATTCCTGACAACCAGTATCTGCTCCTTTGTGCAAGGAGGAACAGGATGAGCCCTGCCAGAGCCCTACAAAATGACCTCCAGCAGGTCACTGGTGTGAATGTCTCTGGCCAATCAGAAACAGACTTCATGAGGGTGGCCTGAGGGCCCAACATCCTCTAGTGGGCCCTGTGCTCACTGCCCAGCACCATCAATTGGCATTTGCCATTGAACCACCATTATTGGCAGGTCCACCACTGCCTCCCTGTTCTTTTCACAGATGAGAGCAGGTTCACCCTGAGCACATGTGACAGACGTGAAAGGGTCTGAAGAAGCCGTGGAGAACATTATGCTGCCTGTAACATCATTCAGCATGACCATTTTGGTGGTGGGTCAGTGATGGTCTGGGGAGGCATATCCATGGAGGGACACACAGACCTCTACAGGCTAGACAATGGCACCCTGACCGCCATTAGGTATCGGGATGAAATCCTTGGACCCATTGTCAGACCCTACGCTGGTGCAGTGGGTTCTGGTTTCCTCCTGGTGCACAACAATGCCCGGCCTCATGTGGCGAGAGTATGTTGGCAGTTCCTGGAGGATGAAGGAATTAATACTTTTGAATGGCCCCCACAGTCGCCTGACCTAAATCCAATAGAACACCTCTAGGATATCATGTTTCAGTCCATCTGATGCCGCCAGGTTGCGCCTCAGACTGTCCAGATCTGGGAGGAAATACCATCTGTTGTCTCATTAGGAGCATGCCCCGACATTGTCAGGCATGCATACAAGCATGCGCGGGCCATACTAACTACTGAGTACCATTTTGAGTTGCTGCAATGAAATTTCAGCAAAATGGACTAGCCTGCTGCATAATTTTTTCACTTTGATTTTCAGGCTGTCTTTGAATTCAGTCCTCTGTAGGTTGATCATTTTCATTTCCATCAAATGGTGGGGCATCCTTACGTTCCTAACACATTACCCAGTCCATATCAGTATAGATATCCAGCATGATATTTTTCCCCATTGAGATCTGATGTGTTTTCAATGTGTTCCTTTAATTTTTTGAGCAGTGTATAACAGACTGGGAAACTGTGTAAGTTACAGTATGAGCCAACATCACATGGTATGTCTCCTTTCAGAGCTGTGCATCACTCCTTCATGGATGTTCACTCAGGGATGTGCGTGCGGGTCAGTAAAGATTCATGCAGCTGTGAAACTGTCATTTAATAGGCTAACGGGGCCACTTGTTCCACCTGAGCAGAACCAAGTTCCATTGCCTCTGGTAATGCTTGTGGCTGTCAGTCTTGCAATCCTTCATGGGACGTATAGTTCCCACATAGCTGGTGGGCCAAAATAAAAGCTTGCAAATGCTGTGGAATGCAAGCGTACACTCCAGTATACAAGGTCTGAGGCTCGTTTCACACTACTGTGACCTGAAAGTCATGCACCTTTACCCAGGCAAAGTCAGGCATCAAGTCGCCAGGCAATCTTCCTGTAATGTCAGACCCAAATCACATCAATATACAGTAGACGAGGGTCCGACTTCCAATAAAGTCTATGGGCACAAGTCAGATAGAAGACACCTTGATGTAGTATAGAAACCTTTTTTAAAGACATGGGGGAATTCAGTAGTGATAATTAAGACAGCTCTCATTGACTAACATTAGAATTCACATGTCATGCGACTTGGGGGTCACACAAGTTACGGCAGTGTGAACCAAGCCTTAACCATTTTGCTGCCATCAATGTTTGGCATAGGTCAACAGCCTAATCAATTCCACGCACCCTTGGTATGTTCTCACACCCTGCTGTCCCTCCTGTGGATCCAGGACCAACACGGCAGGTGCAGCCAGGTAGATTCCTTATGTATCATTAAAGAGAACCTGTCACAACAAAATAGTATCATATAGTGGACTTTTGTTCCCTTATATCAAAGAAAAAAATTGTGAACAAAAGGTGAAAAAAAAAATGTTGCACACAAGTATTGCCATCCCCCGCACCCCCACCCAAAAACAATAAAGAAATTGAGCTCTCAACCCCATATACAGTGAGGAACAGAAGTATTTGAACACCCTGCGATTTTGCAAGTTCTCCCACTTAGAAATCATGGAGGGGTCTGAAATTCACATTGTAGGTGCATTCCCACTCTGAGAGACAGAATTTTTAAAAAAAAATTCAGGAAATCACATTGTATGATTTTTTAAAGAATTTATTTGTCTTGCATTGCTGAACATAAGTATTTGAACAAATAGGAAACAGCAAGAATTCTGTCTCTCAAAGACCTGTTACTGTGCCTTTAAAAAGTCCAACTCTACTCCACTCATTAATCTAACTTAGTAGCACCTGTCTGAGCTCTTTAAAGACACCTGTCCACCCCACAGTCAGTCAGACACCAACTACTACCATGGCAAGACCAAAGAGCTGTCAAAAGAGACCAGAGACAAAATTGTAGACCTCCACAAGGCTGGAAAGGGCTACGGGGCAATTGCCAACCAGTTTGGTGAAAATAGATCAACTGTTGGAGCAACTGTTAGAAAATGGAAGAGGCTAAAGACGACTGTCAGTCTCCCTTGGACTGGGGCTCCATGCAAGATCTCACCTCGTGGAGTATCACTGATGATAAGAAAGGTGAGGAATCAGCCCAGAACTACAAGTGAGGAGCTGGTCAATGACATGAAGAGAGCTGGGACCACAGTTTCAAAGGTTACTGTTGGTAGAACACTACGCCGTCATGGTTTCGAATCATGCATTGCACAGAAGGTTCCCCTGCTCAAGTCATCACATGTCCAGGCCTGTCTGAAGTTTGCCAATGACCATTTGGATGATCCACAGGAGGCATGGGAGAAAGTCATGTGGTCAGATGAGACCAAAGTAGAACTTTTTGGTCTAAACGTCACTCGTCGTGTTTGGAGGAAAAAGAAGGATGAGCTGCATCCCAAGAACACCATCCCTACTGTGAAGCATGGGGGTGGTAACATCATGCTTTGGGGGTGCTTTTCTGCGAAGGGGACAGGACGACTGCACTGTATTAAAGAGAGGATGAATGGGGCCATTTATTGTGAGATTTTGAGCAACAACCTCCTTCCCTCAGTCAGAGCATTGAAGATGGGTCGTGGCTGGGTCTTCCAACATGACAACGACTCGAAGCACACAGCCAGGATAACCAAGGAGTGGCTCTGTAAGAAGCATATCAAGGTTCTGGAGTGGCCTAGCCAGTCTCCAGACCTAAATCCAATAGAACATCTTTGGAGGGAGCTGAAAATCCGTGTTGCTCAGCGACAGCCCCGAAACCTGACAGATCTAGAGGAGATCTGTGTGAAGGAGTGGGCCAAAATTCCTGTAGCAGTGTGTGCAAACCTGGTCAAGAACTACAGGAAACGTTTGACCTCTGTAATTGAAAACAAAGGCTTCTGTACCAAATATTAACACTGATTTTCTCAGGTGTTCAAATACTTATGTTCAGCAGTGCAAGACAAATAAATTCTTTAAAAATCATACAATGTGATTTCCTGAATTTTTTTTTTTTTAATTCTGTATCTCAGAGTGGGAATGCACCTACAATGTGAATTTCAGATCTCTCCATGATTTCTAAGTGGGAGAACTTGCAAAATCACAGGGTGTTCAAATACTTCTGTTCCTCACTGTACATGCACATCCAAATATACAGTAAATACCTCTGTACAAGAATGATTGTGCTACACATATTACGTCACTGGGCATGCCAGAGTGAGAGCATTAATTGTAGGACTGTTCTAGACAGATGGGTCTGTTTCTGTGGGGCCATATAAATGTGAACTTATGTTTGTGCTAGGAGCGTGCAGCACAGCACACTCCCAGCAAAAGACCATGGTCTCACTGTGAGCCTCAGGTCCCACACCAACTATCAGGATCCAGGAGGCACAGTTCCTAATCCCCTATTTGCTGTGATAGCCTCTGATTTGCTATCACAGTGATCAGTCACTGTTCAGCCCACTACTGTTTTTTTTTTTTCTCTTCTTGAATGGAGAAAAAGATGCATTGTATCTTTTTCCTCCTTGCATGAAGAGAAATGTGTAAACAAAGAAGTTTATGTAGAATAAATAATATAAATATTAATAAAAAAAATAGCTAGATTAGGCTCAGTGTTAGTTAGGGTCAAAGGTAATGGTCAGAGTCAAATGTCATGAACAGTTTATTTAGGTTAGGATTAAAAAGGTTTTTGTTGTTTTTTTTTTTTAATGTAGCATCAGTGTCAGTTAATGCAAGCGTGTTTTATGTAGGATAAAAAAAGCAAAATGTGCACTGTTGATTTTTGGGCCCTACTACGGGTACATACAACAACAAATATACACTATATTGCCAAAAGTATTGGGAGGCCTGCCTTTACACACACATGAACTTTAATGGCATCACAGTCTTAGTCCATAGGGTTCAATATTGATTTGGCTGACTCTTCGCACTTATAACAGCTTCAACTCTTCTGGGAAGGCCATCCACAAGGTTTAGGAGTGTGTCTATGGGAATGTTTGACCATTCTTCCAGAAGCACATTTGTGAGGTCAGGCACTGATGTCAGACGAGAAGGCCTGGCTCAGAGTCTCTGCTCTAATTCATCCCAAAGGTGTTCTATTGGGTTGAGGTCAGGCCAGTCAAGTTCCTCTGCCCCAAACCTACTCTTCCATGTCTTTATGGAGCTTGCATTTGCACTGGTGCACGGTCATGTTGGAACAGGAAGAGGTCATCCCCAAACTTGGGAGCATGAAATTGTCCAAAATATCTTGGTATGCTGATGGCTTAAGAGTTCCCTTCACTGGAATTAAGGGGCCAACCCCAACCCTGAAGAACAACCCCACACTATAATCCCCCCTCCACCAAACTTTACACTTTGCACAATGCAGTCAGGTAAGTACCACTCTCCTGGCAACCGCAAAACCCAGACACATCCATCGGATCGCCAGAGAGGCGTGATTCGTCACTTCAGACAACACGTCTCCACTGCTCTAAAGTCCAGTGGCGGTGTGCTTTACACCACTGCATCCAACGCTTTGCATTGCACTTGGTGATGTAAGGCTTGGATGCAGCTTCTTGGCCATGGAAACCCATTCCATGAAGCTCTCTACACACTGTTGTGCTAACCTGAAGGCCACATGAAGTTTGGAGGTCTTTAGCTATGGAGTCTGCAGACAGTTGGCGACTTCTACGTACTGTGCGCTTCAGCATGCACTGACCCTGCTCTGTCATTATACAAGTCCTACCAATTCATGGTAGTTTGGAGGTCTTTAGCTATTGAGTCTGCAGACAGTTGGCGACTTCTGTGCACTGTGCGCTTCAGCATGCACTGACCCTGCTCTGTCATTATACATGGCCTACCAATTCGTGGCTGAGTTGCTGCTGTTCCCAGTTGCTTCTATTTTGTTATAATACCACTAACAGTTGACCGTGGAATATTTAGTAGCAAGGAAATTTCACAGATGGACTTATTGCACAGTTGACCACCTATCATGGTACCATGTTTGAATTCACTGAGCTCCAGAGAGCGACCCATTCTTTCACAAACGATTGTAGAAGCAGTCTGCATGCCTAGGTGCTTGATTTGTTTTACACTTGTGGCCATGGAGGTGATTGGAACACCTGAATCCAATGATTTAGAAGGGTGTCCCAATACTTTTGGCAATACAGTGTATGTGGTATTGCTGCAATCGTCAGGAGCAGGAGAATTTATTATGGATTGTTCTTTGGTGGTAGGGTATGGTGATAGCAAGAAATATACAGCTAAATTTAAAAAATGCGCTTTTTTTACCATTTTTGTGCCAAGTTTTGTTTGATAAGAAAAAAAAAAATCAGGAAATATCCATTACCATTTTCCCCCAAATGAAAGCCCAATTTATCTAGAAAAAAACCCCAAGGTTTATTTCATCCAGATACCTAGTTGTGAAGTATTGTATGGTTTTACTAACACATGTCAAAATTGTGTTCAGGCATTAGGATTTGTTTTACCTTCCTTCATGAATGAGGTTAAATTAGCTCAGTAGTGATTGTTTATGAAGAGAAGAGGGGGAAAATGCTGCAGACATGACGTGCAGTGCCCTTCGCCAAGCCAATCTACTGCACTTCCAGTCTGCTGCACCGAAGCAACTGAAAGGACACAGAAATTAGAGGAAGGTTAGAAGAAACCAGTAAGCACCGGGGGAAACACAAATAGCCGATACTCCTGGAAGTGTTGGTTTTCCAGCAGACTTCTAGGGACGGTTCCTCAGGAATCGCGCAGTGTTGAGAGGAGTGGGTAGCCAGAAAGGTAAATATTTTCCGGTTTCTTTTTAACCAATACCTTTATTTTCATATTTTGTCTACAGGGTTGCCATAAGTAGCTATTTCATATGGGAGAAAAAACATTTTCACATCTAAATATTTATTTTTAAGAATTTTTTAGAAAAACATCATGAGAGAAATGAACCATGTTAACAACTCATCCATCTTACTACATCAAGCCTATTGTAAGGACCTATGCTTGATTTTTTTTTTTCTGTAGAATAGACAAGGTTCCAAGTGGATATTAGCAGTGTAGTTGAGAGGGACAAGTGTATTTTTTTTTATTTCAACATTTTTTTTTTTCAGGCCTTAAGTATATGTGTATTCTCAGCGGGAAGAGGTTAAGAATCCAAATATTGAGACGACTGTTAGGACATCAGGTGGCCTCTGATCCCTCTAACACAATCTAAGTGTCACAACTTATTCAGAGTATGTACACCTAAATATGGAAATAAATAAATCCTTCATAAGCAAGCCTGGAAAATTTAAATTTAGGGATATCCAAATTCTTGGAACGACCCCCACATATTTCAGTTTATATACTGTAGTAACATGAAGCAGTTTTCACCAAGGGTGAATTACCACTTATCACACTAATCCAAAGTTTTGGGCTTGTCCATTTAAATATTATAGCATTTTTGTCTACAATGAAACTTAAACTTTAAGTTGTGTTTATTCTTGGCTCTGCGCAGGAAAAATCAGAATCACCTGGTGGAGGGTGTATTGATATGGAAAGCCTATCAATTTCTATTTACACAATGTTATTGCATATTAAACCCATGGAACCACTGCTTCATCCAAGTTCAAAATACTATTAAAATGAAACATTCTCTCATGAGATATTCAATATGTAAGCTTGCATTCCACAAATTGTACTCAGTACTGCTTTTTGCCAAAAGATTTATAGTGAACCTATCTCCATCATTAGTATGCAGCAACAACTGCATAACGAGACAAGTTGATAGCACATACCTAATTTTCCTTAAAAATCATCTTCCTGGTTGCTTTATTGGGCCTCCCCAATCCAAAATGCAATTAAGGTCAACAAAAGGTGAGTATATTTGCTTCTGGAGAAGAAATCTATTTTTGGGGTGTATTTATAAAAAGAAAATCACAGAGCTATTTGTCCTTTGAAAGTGTGTGTACATTTGTTCTATGCACATGGGGGCAAACATATTATTAGGGTATTTTCTCTCTGGTTTGAACGTTTTTCTTCATACAGGGTAGATTGAACAAGGAAAAAAATACTGCAAGATGGCCAGTACATGGAGATGACTATCATAGACAAAATCATATTTATTTTCTAAAATTTCAACTCTATCTAGGGGCCATAATGCAGTATTTGACTCTCAAATCTATATAAAGAAAAACATTCAAACTGGAAGAATATTTGTCTAATAAAATTTTTGCCCCCCATCCGCATAGAACAAATGTACTTGCAGTTTCACAGAATTGATAGCGCTGACATTTTTTAAAAATTGGTGTACAGGAGATGCCTGGCTTTGAGGGAGATGGTAGGGCAGGAGTTGGCAGCAAGGGAGTGTTGAGAACAAATGAGACATTTATATGCATCCTAACATGTCAGCTATCCAATGTAGCAGTATGGTGACACATTTAGGGCTTAAATTTCAAGTCCTGAGCTACTAGTCAGGCCTTAAGAGTTACTCGCCACCAACAAACACACACAAAGAGACACCTGTACACACACACACATACAGACACATGTACATACACACACACAGAAACATGTACACACACGCACAGAGACACATGTACACACACACACATACAGACACATATGTGCACACACAGGCATGTACAGACACGTATACACACAGATACATGTACAGACACATGTACATACATACAGACAAACACACACACATATGTACATGCACACAGACACCCACAAACATACATGTACATACACGCAGACACATGTGCAGATACACACAGACACATATACATGCATACACAGACACACACGTACACACACACATGCACGCTGTTAAGTGCTCTCTCCTCTCCCGAAGCCACCACTGGCTGACATAAAGGATCATGTGACCAGAGTGAGCTGAAATTGGGTAGGCGCACGTGCACACACACACACACACACCCCTATAAAAAGTTGCAATACTTCGTTGTTCGCTCACAGAGCCGGGTACTGCACTTTAGAGGGAGGCAGAGAGCACAGCACACACTCCTTCCTTTGCTTTCACTGCGCTCAGCTATGGAGCAGTCTGACGGCTCCCAGTGCCAATGACAGATCCGGCCTGAGCTCTGAGCCTGCTCAGTAAGACGGCCCTGGGGGACACACTCTCCTCCACCATAATTTCCACTCGCCATTGGCGAGCAGGCGAGTGGAAATTTCAAGGCCTGAGTTAAACCATAGATTTGTGAAAGACTTTGCATTAGGAAAAAAACAATTACACAGTGATATGTCATGTTTTTTTTTATTATTATTATTTGAGAAGCAAAATATGAGAGTGTTTTCCATTGTCTGCACCGAATATCGGAGGAAGCACAATAAGGGTAAGCACAGTCAAAGTTTAACTGGACTAAATACTGCTTAATATACATTCCAAAACAAAAAATATGGTTTGATTTCTTTTATAGGTACACATAAAAGAAAAAAAATTATATAAACCAGTGATGGGAAATAGACAATATCTCAATATCTTAATGCTGCTAAAAATAAAAAATCAGATGGAGAGTACCTGTGATGCGGACATTACCTGTAATGCAATCCATTAAAGATTAATGCAGCATTGGAGCATCCAGGAATATAAAGCTTAGTTTCAGGTAGCAGAGGAAAAACAAGGTTTGGCCTGTCTGCACCAACCATACTTAAGACACAGCGACTGTACATTGTAAGCCACATATCTTGAATGTAACACAGGGGGGCTTCAGTTTTAAATATTTAGAGGAACTGGCAACATATTGTAATTCTGCTAAAAACATGTAATAAAGGTTGGATGGAATAGGTGTTAAAGTACACAGTGGATCCTTGTTTATGTTGGGGTTTATAATAGTTACTATGCTGGTAGTCAAGCTCAACCTCTTGAATTATTTTAATTAAATAAGTAGCTGGGGGATGGAGCTCTATACCATTTAAACCTAACCCCATGTATATACAGTGAGGAACAGAAGTATTTGAACACCCTGCAATTTTGCAAGTTCTCCCACTTAGAAATCATGGAGGGGTCTGCAATTCACATTGTAGGTGCATTCCCACTCTGAGAGACAGAATTAAAAAAAAAAAAAAATCAGGAAATCACATTGTATGATTTTTAAACTAAAGTGTAAAGGATCCTCCTGCGCTCGATGGAATGATTACTATAATACAGCTGCTGTCACTTAACTAATACCAACAAGTGCAAACAAAAAGAAAAAAATAGTGAAGCGCTTATATCTCATGAATAAATAAAGTGCATTCAAAAAAGAATTAATATAAATGAATTAATATAAATCTGATACTCCTGTGTGACAAATCTATATAATAAACACGAATACCTCCCTCTAATGGGAGAAAAAAATAGAGCAACCGAATGTAATTAAGCTTTAGTGATTCAACGCACACTATAAAAAAACCATACCGTGCATATAAAAAATTTCAAAACATAACCAAATGTGAATAAATTAGTGAATATGAAATTAATTATCCACATAAAATAGTGCCTAATTCATACACATTTCATATACATCATAAGTGAAAAAGAAAAAATGTCAAATGCATGTGACTCTTTTAGAAAACACACGTGATCTCCACTTCTAGGTGCAAATAATCTCCTCCAAATGGCAGCAATGCCTGCTCACCTCCCCTCCTTGACCCACACAGGGCCCCAAAGCAGTTTCCACCTCAGTGGTGTATCTCCTCTGGCAGACTCCTTATTCCTCCTCCTCTCTTATTCAGACTCATAGAAAGACATAAAACTTTCCATAGTGTAGTATATTTATTAAGAAAGGGTAAAACACCACAAATAGTTACACTCACATAGTCCTCTTGGTTAACAAGCATTTTTACCACAACCTATGTGTAAATCTGCATGCACTGGGGAATCCAATATGGCCGCGGCGTCCGGACATGCGTCACCAGGAATGACGAACCGACACGTTGCGTCACGTGCGTCGTGACTTCATCAGGGTATCAAGTATTTGAACACCTGAGAAAATCAGTGTTAATATTTGGTACAGCGGACCGGAAGTGCGTCAATGCGTTTCGCCCCACCCACAGGGCGTTCTCAAGACCAGAACGCCCTGTGGGTGGGGCGAAAAGCGTTGACGCACTTCTGGTGTGCCGTCATTCTGGTTAACGTCACTTCCGGTGTTTGGAACGCACGCCAGCTTATGCGGTTCAAGTGGCCATCTTGGAGGTGGAAGGCTGTTCATCCTCTGCAGTGACTAGAAGCGTGAGATCCCTATATCTACATTCTGAAAATTGATTATCTTGAAGCCATTGAGGCTATTGAACAAGGTTTTTAATTTTATTTAAACATGTGAGTGTCCTTATTCTATCTTTATATTCTATATGGAGTGGCAGTATTACACTATGTAGTTTTTTTCTCTACACACCATTGAGGAATCCATGGAGAAATAGAGTGGAGACGAGCGCTATACCATAGCAGGGTGAAGAAGGAGATTTGAGTTCCTTTGGAGGGGTTATAGGATCCCTTATATCCTATAAGGCTCACTACTCATCTCCATCTGGTGAGTGCGGTCAACATTATTGCTCACGTGGTGGATAGGTGGAAGCACATTTGGAAGATTTTTGATTGATTTTTTTAATGGTTTTGATGGGAATAAGGACACATATATATATATATATATATATATATATATATATATTTTCACAGACACTTATTATAAATTTAGTGTTTATTTGTGTTATTTTAATTTTAGATTTTGCGCTGTTTTTGTGTTGTTTATTATTGGTGTTTTTCACTGGTGCACAGCTGCATAATCATATATTTTTTTCTTTCTTTTTTGGCGCTGGGATATATACTTTTGGTTTTTAACGTGTTGTAGAAGCTAATTTCAACACAAGGAATTCCGCCTAACATCAAACTCTCTGTTGGTGAATTCAGAAAGCAAACCAAGATGTACAGAAGATTAACCATCAGCAGAAAATAAATATCAAAGAGTTGTCCTTAAAAATTACACAGATTTCATGGGTAAGGGTTGACTAAAAGGTAGCATTACTTTTGGAAATGTTCACTGAAAGATGTTTTGTGTAAATTGTACAAAATAGGAATATATTTGCTGCATATTGTTCCTAATCCGAAGCAAGAAAAGCATAAAACAGGCAAGTTACATCATGTGGTCCTTAAATCTGCTTTGCCATCCTCTGTACAATACTAAAAGAATGAAGATATCCCCTATGCATGCATGCCAACTACACCAAAATATAAAATAGGAAAAAATACACCAGGTGCTAATAAAATACAGCAGTTTATACAAAAGCTTTTTTTATTTCTTTTTTTAACATTCACAGACAGATATGTAGAGGTTTGGGGAAGCTATCACAGCTAAAAATGGTTCATTTATAAAGGGACTATTTATACTGTCTGCTTTGGTGGGTTGTGTTAACCACTTGACCTCTGGAAGGTTTTACCCTGTCATGACCAGGGCATTTTTGGCTGTTCAACACTGTGCTACTTTAACTGGTAATTGCTCGGTCATGCAACACTGTACCCAAATGAAATTTATAGTTGTTTGTCATACAAATAGAGCTTTCTTTTGGTGGTATTTAATCACCACTGGGTTTTGTTTTATATAAATGAAAAATTACCAAACATTTTGAACAAAAACCCTCCAGATATTTTCTACTTTCTGTTATAAAACGTCCAACAAAATCAAATTTCTTAAATAAATTTAGGCCAAAATGTGTTACATGGCTTTGGTAAAAAAAAAAAAAAAAAAAAATCCCAATAAGTGTATAATAGACAGATTGTGTTGTGTTTATAAAGCGCCGTAAAGGGTAACTCCAGTTTTGTAGGAAAAATTATTAAAAAAAAATAAAAATGTCTGTGTGTGTGTGTGTATATATATATATATATATATATATATATATGTATATGTATAGAGCATATACAATTGCTACACAAGCCATATTGTAATTTAATGTTATTAAAAAATCTCTCTTTTTGGTTTTCTGTAGAATTCAATGCAATATGGCAACCTAAAGGCCTTCTGTATCCAGTTGGTATACAGAACTTCCCCAGAAATGTCATTTCCTACTTGTATGATTTGCTTACTGCTTTTCCCAGAAGTCTGCACGAAGATACAAATCATATTTCAGACATCCTCTGCAAAGAAAAATTCATTTTTAGTGAGATACTCCCGAAGCGTTAATGCTGACACTGCAACTTTTTTGTTATTAGAAGACCGCAAGTGTAACAGCTAATTAATATTCAAAAATCACTCCCATTCAGATTTACTCTACACACGCAGAGCAGAAACTGGTAAGACACTGCAACAAAGTTTTTTCACAAATGCATGCAAGGTACATTGGTCACCCAGATGGGATTTTTTTTTTTCAACAAAAGTAGAGTTACTGCTTAAGGAGGGCTGCATTAAGGCAGTCCATTTGTTTTAAAAGGGCTGCCGATACATCAAAACGTACAAAAAAAAAGTACTTGCAGTATTTTTTCCAACATAGACAACGTTGTTGTGTGTTACAGTGTACGGTTACACAGGAGCTTTGTAGTGCCATTCCAAATGGATGGGCATTCAATGCACCAACATGCATAACACCATAATGCAGTAATGTGAATCTAGCCTTCAAGTGTTTTTAGTTTTGAATGAAGTGGGGAGGAGGGGGCATTACAATCTCTGTCAGGGCACTTCCTGTCCCAGTGACAATGTTGGAACCCCAGGTTTTAATAAATTTGTGCAATTTCCCTCATTTCCTGTCTTGGTAATAATGCGGTCACCAAGGCAGGATGTGAGATGAGTCTTCCCAACAGAGCACAGATTCTAATCCTTCCCCAAAACCTTTGGTCAAAGTTGCACTTTAAAAGCACTTTCCAAACAAATGTGTTCTCCTGGCTAGGGAACTCCTAGAAGAACATGACTGTAATTTTTTGGTCTAACATTGCAGGCAACACAAAATTACAGCCCTTTTAGTAAAGGTATATTCATGCCACATATTGCATTCTCCCTGCAGCTATATGTACTTTTACACCGCAATTTAATTTTAAAAGCAGCTTTTTAATATAAACGAAAGGTTTTCTGATCCATTTAGTGCCAGTACTACTTGAGTTACATTCTGGCTGCACATTAATGTCCTGAAAGCATGCCAATGCATATACAGTGCAGTCCATTTAACATAATACACTTAAGAAAATTATTTTTTTTATATATCCAGTGTTGATCACCCTCAAGCATAAGATCAGTGAATACATGAAAAAATGTTTTTAGAAAAGTTTTTGGTGCAATTTAAAACAAAGACAAGTAAATTATAACACAAAAAAATAAAGCAACAAATGGAGATATGGTGGACTATAACTTTATTGAATGGCCTAGTGTGCATTTAAAAAAAAAAATATTTGGGCCTATGATTAAAACCTTTTTCTCTTAAAAAAAAAAAAGGGTTAAAATGCAAGTGACCTAAAACAAAAACAACAGTTAGTGCTCTAAAGATTTTTCAGGAAAAAAAAAGTTTAGAAATTTACTAACTTTATATAATATTGACCAGCTTTAACAAACATAAAAAACTAGTTCCTTCATCAGCCAACAATAAATAGCTTGCTTTACAGGATTACATTTCAAGTATTTAAGTTTATTGACAGCAAAGTCTTGTGTTTAATATTTTGTGATCTACCAATCCCTTTTTGTTCCTGATATCCAAAATAGGTCCTGGTGCACAGTGACAATAGCGAATAATGATTAATAGAATGTGCAGAACTTGTGTGAAATGATTGCAAAGTAGTCCACTTTGCCAACAGAGAAACATACTATTGGCCAAAATGTAAAACAAAAAAAAAAAGTAATGCATATCGTCGATATTGTACACGATACCTACAGAACTGCTGGGAGCCATTTTATGCTTTGAAACAATACTGGTGCCCTTAATTTATAAGGAACTGATAGTGGCTAGCAGCTCAGTTCACAAAATGGCTCCATTAACTTACTATATGACAGTTACCCTTTATGTAAGTTCTTTTTTTTTTAAATTGAAATATTTGACATGAAATGATATTGTAAAACACCGGTCACATTTTGTCACTGGTGTTGGTATTCAGTCTCTATAGTTGCAGTGCTAAATTCTTAAGAACTTACAAAAAGGATATTGGATTTATTGCATCATTGAACAGTAACAAAGGAAATACCTTGAAGTACCCAAGGATACCTCACACCTTTTTGGGCTAAATTTCCTAACATTAAATAAAAACCTTGGTCAGTCCAAAACATGATTTAAAACAATTTTTGCATTCTATCCTGCAGAAGTCCAATAAAGTCAGTGCATACAGTACCCCACCTGCCCCATTTATTTAATGTACAGTATTAGAATGACCAGTATCTACAATATTACAGCAACATCTGTAAATCACCACTTTCAGTTGGTGAAATAAATTCAGTTGCAATATGCTCTATATCTACAGATTTATACAAAGTTTAGTCTCCACTTCTCATCTAGGCACAATGATGATTTGTCAGTACGAGCTAAAAGAAATAAAAGAGAGGTGGCAGTTCAAAGGAAGTCATAGCCCCGAAGATGACCGTTGGATGCAAGGTTTTACAACATAAGCAAAGCTAATGATCAGCTTTTAAGACCAGTCGTATGGTTGCGGATGTTGGGGTGTTCCTCATCGTAAGCTTGTCTGTTTTGGTAACTTAGCTCCCATTAGGATGCCTGGTGCCAATGTCGATGGTGCTTTCATCTGCATACTAGATCCTACCATTGTTGGGAAGCTCCGATTCCTACGAATTCCAGTGTTTAGCTGAATACCACTTATAGCACCTGTAACAGCAGGGTAATTTAAAGGCAGACCTTCTGGTATAAGGCCTCCAGGAACATATGCTTGCACTGGTCCCTGTGCGCCACATATAATAGGCCTGTGGCTGTCGCATACAGCAGATGCTTGTGATGGTCCTGAGACTTTGGCAATTCCAAATTTTTTCACTTTGTCCACCAAATTAAGGTTGGAGACAGAGACATCAGTTTGACATTCACTACTTCTTATATTCTTTTTCTCTCTCACTTCCTTCAGGATGGAACTGGCAGGCTTCGAAGCCAAGAAGTTATCGTAAGGTGGGCTGGTGCATTTAAAATCTACAGAAGGAGGAGAAGAGCTTGGTGTCTGCATAGGTGAGTTTGGAGGCGTGGAAGGTATAACAGACATTTTTGGAAGTGATTGGTTCATAAAAGTAACCTTTCCAGCCCTGTCCCAACTTTGAGGGTTGTACACAGCTGCTGAAATGCCTCGCTCTTTCAACAGCCTCACCAGTCCTAAAGATGTGCTCATTGTGGTTGTTGATTCTCTTAGGTTGGTAAAAGACTCGGCCAAGCTCAAACGTCGAGGTGTGCAGGGTGTGCTTGCTGGCGTTGGTTTTAGACTGCTGAAAATGCACCCAGAAGCTGGAGTGGGTGTTGGATTAAGGCTGCAGAGTACAATAAAAGATAAACTGTTACAGTACACTAAAAATAAAGTACATAAACTTGAGAAAAAGAAACAAAAATTAAAGTTTATAAAAACAAGTGATCAGAATCCACAAAGTATTACATATTGTTCTCTTGAAGTGACATGTGCAAGTGTGTACAGTATGTATAATTTTAACTAAAAATTACATTTCTAACTTGATTTTAATCCATCTAACCCAGCTAATTTTATGCAAAGACGTGAAATATGAGAGAAAATGTCGCTAAAGAACAAAAGCGTCCATTCTTCTTCAAAACTGATCAAGAGAGCAATCAGGACACGCATCATGTAGAAAAACCAAGTTTAGAAGGCTCTCGCTACAATTTTTTATAAGTAAATTTATACTTTAAAGGGTATCTAAACCTAAAAATGAAATTCTAATATATTGCAGCTTACCAGTCATTAAATTACAGTATATTCCTATATTAGTTTTCTTCTTTCCAGGCCTTTTTCCTTCATATTCACCTGGTTATCCTGAAAAATAACACACCTCCTGTCCCTGAGTCCCTTCATTGATTCCACTGTATCTGTGGAGGAAGCAATGGATGTCCCCAGGGTGGACATCAAGCAAGTCTGCCTTTTGTTTGATTCCATTACAGGGGGGTTGATTGGATTAGTAGTTTACAGAAGTTTGGAAGAGAACATGGTTTCTTTTTCAGTTCAGCTCACAAAAATACAATGAAACTGCATTTATAGCAAGATCCATAGGTATTTTCTGCAGGTCCAGGAAAACATTGTTAACCTAAAAAAAGAAAACATCTAAAGACTAGTAAGCCGTAACATATTAAAGAATTATTCTTGGGTTTAGATATACTTTAACACAAATAGAAGTAACACGTTGTCTATATCTTTTACAATCAGATGTCATAAAAGGATAGCAGGCAATTAAAGATAATCATACCATGTTTGCATTGTTCTGTCACTAGCCACCTACAGACTAATTAGAAGGATTTAATGCTTACCAGCAGACCAATTTTCTCTTCATGTGGTCCTCTTCCTATGAGCACTCACAATTGTAAAACTATGCTGAAGAGGAACTCTGGATTCACTCAAAAGTGCAATATATATTTGCATGACCATGCTGTAAATATGCGTAAAACACACCACAGTAACATTTTTCCTTAGACCTGCTAAAGTCCTAAACATGCAAATGAGTTCTCCTGGGAATCACAAAAATTAGTTGCTGTGCATGCTTTCCAGCAGATCTTAGAAGAGGAACGGAGTAAACTATGGCATCCCCAGCATCTTTTTGCTTCTAGGTCTTCTCCTATTGGTTCCCCTAAGGCACTCACCTTCTGCTTCAAGGGTAGGCAAGAAGGGGCATAAATACATGATAGGCTTATTTTATGCCCTGCATGTCATCTTAAAAATATTTGAGAAGAGGATCTTGTGGTTTGTTGGTATATCTCTTGTTCTGTACTCATTCACTGTGAGAGAAGTGTTGCCAAGCATCACCATGTGCAGTGGTATATTTAAGATTTGTCAGTGGGGCAATTGGTGGCTTTCCTATGTTGCTATAAGTTGTATTCCTGTTGTCCATATATCCTGCAAACTTAGCAGAGGCTGTTCTTACAAAAAGTGTCCAACATCCTCAACCGAGACAAAAAAAAATGATTTTCTTTACAGTCTCTCCTTTTTTATCTCTTCTTGATTTAAGACTGCTGATCACCCCTGCAAACTATGTTCTGGTGTTCCTCTTAATCCAGCCATCTCCTTCATTTCACAAATGCTTTCACTTGTGCAATTTCTCCAACATATACTGTACCCAGGGGCGGACTGACCATTTGGAAACTGGCTACTCCAGTTTCCTAGGGGGCCCATACTCAAAAGAGATGATGGAAGGCTAGCTGGCTTCTGTCTAAATTGGCCCTAGTATAGTCTGCATGTAACTGGGTACTGATGAGTGTTCAAAAAATATGTAAAGTAGCTGGCATAAATTTAAGAGCTGTTTAATACCTGTAATAAATGACTGACAAAACTGAAAAAAAAAACTGAAGCTTATACATGCAACAGAAAAAACGCTATGAAAACAGGCCGTTTCCATATGAATTTAAAACCAATCAGTTGTATACCCATGAAAATTACACATGTGAAGTATAATGTATTTATTTTATTCTAGTAAGTTAAAATGCTAAGACAAATTCCTTGAAGAATATGTTTCTTAAAAATACAAGCTGGTAGTAATTATGCAGTAGTTTAGTTTATGTGAATCAATCTAGCAAGTCAACATGCCACTGAACCTGTGAGAGGAAGCATTTGGATTCTTAGTTGTGTTAATCTCTAGGTTATCTGGAATCACACACACTAGCATCTCAAACTTTTGTGTTTCAACAGGCAACAGACTCCACTAATTAGTACTGCTCACCCCCTGTAATGCTCAGTCACAGAGTTTGCCCTATAGCTTCTCTTAGAAAAACCTGGTATAAACTGCTTTCTTCTTCTCCATCAAATGACCTGTAAAGAACCACTTCCAGTTAGGCAGCTGCTAAGTTATCTTTAACATACATTGGTGATCTAAGTCCACATTCTATTTATTTGCAAGGATGAACAATATTCTATGCATTACTCCTATGTTGCAAACATTCATCCAGTATATTCAGGCTCAGTGTGTTTAGACTCTTCTATAGGGTTTATATAACAAGAAAGTAAAAGTAAACATAAAGCCAAAACTTTTACTTTTTAAAGTTTGGATAGAGCAGAGAATGCATTAGGGCCTCTTCCACCTAATCATAATGTACCACAGCTAGCAAATGTCAGAATATAATAGGAGCAGTGGGTGTACATCTACACTGTATAGTGTAGATGAGGGGTCTCCAAACTTTCTAAACAAAAAGGGACAGTTTGCAGTCTTTCAGACTTTAAGGGGGCCGAACTATGGCCAGTGGGAGTAAAAAATTGCCCGGGCATCAGTGGAAGTAAACCATGTATCTTTGCTATTAGGGGGAGAAATAGTGCTCCATCGTTGGTGTCAGTGGAAGGAATAGTGCTCCATTGTGGGCATCAGTGAGAGAAATAGTGCCCCATTGTTGATTTCAGTGACAGGAATCATGCCCCATTGTTGGGGGAGGATTAGTGTCTCATATCAGTAGGAATAAGAGTGCCCCAAGGTCCAAATAAAAGCATACAAAGGGCCACAGTCTGGAGACCACTGTGTAGATGGAGAAATCTGTTAGATATTTTTCCTCCCAGCCAGCAGGCTGAACGAAGAGAAAGTAATAGTGTATGGCCAGCTTTGGACCCATGTCAGTCCTAGACAGTTGCCACCAGAACAGTGTGAAGCTACGCTCTCAGCCCCCCCTAATACTTACCAGAGCTGATCCAGCACTGTACATGAGAGAAGCAGCTCTCCTGGGTCTCCTTCTCCCCATTGGCTCTCAATTACAGCACCTAAGGAGGGAGCGAGGGGAGGAGCCGAGCACACAGAGTCAGCTGGAGAACAAACACGCATTAGGGCCCCCAGAACAAGTAGCTTGCTCTGGGGAACTCAGCAGGTGGGGGGGGGGCAGGAGCCCCGGTGGGGGACCTGGGAAGAGGAGGATCAGGGCTGCTCTATTCAAAACCATTACACCGAGCAGGTATGTATACCATGTTTTTGGGGAGTTTTGTTTTTTAAAAATGAAACTTTAGTATCACTTTAGTTACTTTTGATTTTTTTGGTAATGTCCTGAGCTTTTTGTAAAAATATAAATCCCTTATATCAGCAATAAAAGCCTGATAGGGATCTGACTTTTTCACACTCTATCCAAAACTAAATAAAACACAGATTTGACTTTACATACACTTTAAGTCCTCTGCATTGCCTGTACCGAACATCGCTTTTCTCATGTCACAGGGATAAATGTTTCACAAAGGCTATATTAAACTGAGAGACCGTGTACAGAGGTGATAACTAACCTTGGAGTGACACGGGTGAGTTCATCAGAAGGATGCAGGATTCGACACGTGGTAACGTGAATGTAGAGTTGGTCTGAGACAAGCATTTCCCAGGGTGGTGCACTAAATACAAGACAATAAGACACCTATTACTGACTTGTATAACAAATGACAAGTCAAATCTTGAAAAGAAGCATATACAGAAAGGTGTAACAATCAAAAAATAATAATTTATGCTGTAAATACCAAATTATAATAATTATGAAATATGCATTCTTTGGACACAGCATGTTCAAAATCAGTTGCATAGGTGCTTTTCATCATGATACAATTTCAGTGCTGATTAATACACCAAAGATGGCCGTAGATGGATCGAAATTCAACTGGATCAGCAGGGACTAGCCAAATTTTGATCTATCTATGGGCAGGCTGGTTATACTGAAGTTGATCTATTGACTGACTTATATACAACCAGGCTGATTTTGTGAAATCACTGCCAGCAGCTATAGGGGAAACCTCCCACTGTCAGAATACAATAACTCAACGGGAGGATTCCTCCCATCAACACTGACTGTTGATGGGGAAATCTAGCAATTTTCTTTCCTTCACCCCATGCATAATCTATGGCCAGCCTAACAGTTGTGGACAGAACTTCTGTTACTGACAATAAAGCGTTTATTCGATAAACCAGAGCACACAGCACTGTATACCTAAGCGCTGTAACCCATAGCAATCAACAGAATTTAAATCAGATCAGCCTGACTATAGTCCTTTGCTGTTCTGAAAAATAAAAAGGGGTTAGCATACAATATCCCATGCATCAAAACCTAGATTGCTGGACAGTGGATATGGTGCTTTGATAGGCTCCAGTTATTTTACCAGTACAAAATTAAGAATATAGAAATATTTGATTGCTATAAATGACAAATCTTTTTCTCAAAGGTTTAGATTGGATCCTATGTTTATCATCTGTAACACGTATTGGACGCAACAATTATGTACTAGAACATTGAATGAATGTTTGATTTCTTCTCCTGATGGTAACAACTCCTGATGTAGTAAAAGGAAGTTAGGTGATACATTGCCATTAAACTTTTAGGTGGCTTAAAACAAATCCACTGTATACAAAGACAGAGTGGAAACCCATTTAAAGCCATTTTAACAGGTCATAATGCAGAAGCCAAAACAGAGCACAGAGGTTCTTTGGAAGCCCATCAAAGCAAGTTGCTATGCAGGTGGGTGTCCATTGATAAAATATATCTAGTGTGGGTTAGGGGAGAATTGAATATTATTTATTAGGTTCTGTCAACTATGGACTGGTGAAGACAAAGTGTGATTAGCAAGAAAAAGGAAAAAACAGATTAGCAAAATTCTTTCCTGAGTAATAATGTAAAATATGACCGAAAACATTTTAATGGCAAATATACCATCATCCTACTATAGTAAAAACAAAGGTGCTATAGTAGATATTATATTTATTTCAGGAAAGAAGTATGCTACATAGCATGTCCGTAATCTCTTTATTTTGCAGACCATTGAAGACATTTGATCATTCAAAATATTGCTTCCAAATTTTTAATCAGCTACTGATTAGATATAAAGGCTGCTAAAATTAGAGTCAAGCAAAGGTTTTAGCATAGAAATAAGGTTCAAGGCTCCTTATAAAGTAGAGACTGGAAGGCGACAGTAAAGTAAGCAGGTAGCTTATGTATTTTTCTTCAACAAACCTTTTCCAATGTTTTCAAGCTCTCTGAAGGGCACAACATCACATAACTGAAGCTGCAGGTTCAATAAGCATTTGTGGTTAGGCGCTTGTAGAAAACTACACATTTATGACTAGCCCATACCAAGATTAATTTACAAAAATAAAAAGAGTAACCCTGTAGCTAGAACATCCTTCATTTTTAGCCCTTCTGCTTGAATTAGTCTATGCCTGAGACAGAATGTTCCTTTTGTTTTTTTTCCCACTCTCCAGTCCGGGAACAAGATCATCCAGTGCCAAAGGCAAAAATGTCAGACTGTGCCCCCCTCCTCTGTGATGTGCATGCACAATCATCTTCTGAGATGGTGGCAGCTGGAGTGGAGTGGGATTCCAGCTGCCACCATGCTTGTCTCAGCATTGCTGTGCTGCTCAGGGTCCAACAATCGGATTTCACGTGGACTTGGAAGTGCACATTGTGGGCTGCTGCAAGTTTGCGGTCGGTCTCCTTACATCTATTGAGAATAGCGCAGGACCAGCCAGAGATTAAATTAAAGGCAGATCATGCATGCAGGTCTTGGACTGGGTACCTGGAGCCCTCCAGGAAGAACTGGAATGGGGGTCCACTTTACAGTGCAGTAGATTATTTTGAGTGGTTGCATAAAAATGGCTCCTCCCTTCACAAAAGTAAACATTCAATCAGTACAGAGAAGAATGAGAAGAGGAGAATGTGTGTTTGAAACCTTGTAATGTACTTTACTATACAGACATGTTTAAAAACATTTAAATAAAAAAATATAACACTCTTTATTAAAAAAAAAAAAAAAAAAAAAAAAAATTATATATATATATATATATTCTGCAATGATGTGCAGCCAGATTCCAAAAGCTAGAGGAGTCACCCAAACAGATATTGGAGGGGTGGAGTCACCAGTCAGAGTCTGCATGCACGTGGCGAGGAGGGAGCAGCTCACCACATGGCATCCCTTCCCCTTCCTCACATGAAAATACAGATGTCCCTCCTGCACCCCCTTTCCTTTTTTCTCATCCCTTTGTGTTCTCAAAGGAGGAGGGGTTCTTTATCTTCCTTTTCTATTGTGCCTTCCTGTCCTAGTGACTCCTGCTCCCCTTAATTCCTGTCTAGGGACAACCAAGACACACAGCAAGGAGATATCTGACCAGTGGAGTCAAATAAAAACCTGACCTGAGGTTTACTTTTCCTCACTTCCTAATCAAAACTGGAAACAAAAATCAAGTTGAGTTCAAAACATAGTATAAAGTACTGAGCTCAGAGTGCAAACAAATGCCCAGAAAATACTTCCCTAATATTAAGATATGATCACCTATGCAGTTTTCCATGCACAGACAGAGCCTGGTACTGGATATTTTGCATTGTCATGTGTTTTGATACATTTTTCAGCAAAGGCAAAAGAATGCAAGAGCAAAAAAGTTTTTTTTTTTTTTTTTTTTTTTCAAAACAATCTCTTTATACTGTGTTTGCATGTTGGTGTGTTGGGAAAAAAATCCTACATGCTGCATTTTGGGTTCTTGGATCTTAATTTTTCCATTAAATTTTTCCACAAAACAACTAAAAAGTGTTATAGTGTGATTGAGTCTCAAGTACAAGACTTAAAGGATCATTCACATCATAATTCATTTTAAAACATGCATTGTGTAGGTGTGCATTATCAGTATTCATTTAAATGGCAAAATTCAAAGCTATTTGTTTAAGCTATAAAATGATGCAAATGGGAGCAAAGATGGAGAAAATAAGGCAGCAAAAAAAAAAAAAAAAAGACTCTGTGCTATTACTCCAAGTTGTGTTGATGGGATATAAAATCGTCAGTAAAGTCAACACTTTTGGGAAAGACCTTGACATATGTTTGAAATCAAAGTTTTAAAGCAAAATTCTAGTCAAACATCTGAATAAAAATGGGAAACAAATGTAGAGCTTTAGTGGGATGATACCATGAGGCCACAACTACTTTGGGGTCACCTCAACACCTGCCAATTGGGCTGTGCTGCGCAGTTAGGTTGGCATTATAATGTCACAAGGCCCTGACCACAAAGCGGGTACCTCCACCTTCCAGCTTGATGTTGGTATAGAGAGGATTATGGAAAGTTCAAAAACAATGAAAATTACAATAGTAGTATACAAAAATATAGATTTTAAAATGAATACATTAGGAGACTAAGAAAATTCTACATATATATTTGGCTGGTTTCCTGCTTCATCAGGCAAAATAAGCAGAATCAATTCACTCTGCCCAAGCAAGTTTACATAATTATTATAGAATCTCGCCTTATGTAGCTCAGTTGGCTACTGGGGTGTTATAATTGTTGCAATTGCATTGATACCTGGACAGCAAGGACATAACTGGAATGTTTGGAAAATGTATGCATTTGTGCTTATAAGGTCCCTTTCACATGGGGTGGATTTCATTCTGATCAGCAGGCGATCAACTTGCAAATCCCCTGTTGATCGCAGGAGAGCAGGCAAATGACACATCCATGCACGCTCAGTTTCTGCAGAGCAGACATGGACAGAGCCTGCTCTGCTCTATAGGCAGCTGGGAGTAAATGGGCTCCGCTTTCCAACTACCCTCCAATCTCCTCTGCCTAAACAGAATATGACAGGTCTACTTCCTTTTTTTAGTGGACACCATATGACCTAGAGGTAGGTGGGTGTAAATTAACACAAATCCATTTACACCAGCCTGTCCATAGGGTGATTGAACCTTAAGATTAGGTCCATCTGAAAAACTGACAGGCTGACCTAATTGGAACGGCCGTGTGAAAGAGGCCTTAGGCTTTCATCTGCCTAGCTGTTGTGAATTAAAGCGGAGTTCCACCCATTTTTAAAAGTGGCTTTCATCTACATGCCCACCTGCTGCAGTATATTCCTAAATGGATATAAATATATATATTTTTTTATGTCTGAATACTTTATTTTTATCTGTGTATGCAGCACTTCCAGTCTGGCTGCCTAGGCGATGTCGTCATAAGGTGATTCCCATGAACACCTGGGATATCGGCGTCATCTATCCCAGGAGTCCAAGCGAATTGACTGAAAATGAAAGATCGCACTGTTTCCCAGACCGCATCCGACTTCCGGGTCTTCTGATTGACAGGTTGCCATAACGACAGGGCGGGAACTTCCGCCGATGCCACCATTGCTATGGCAACCTTCAATCAACAAACTGCACCGCGCAGTGTCATTACTGCATGGTGCGAGATCGGGAAATGCATGCTGGGTAGCCAGCTGTACTGAATCCCGGAGTGAACAGGAGAGGGCTTCAGATGCCCACATCTACCATGGCCCCTGCCTGCTGACAAGATTGTGTGATCGATTACAGATGTAAGAATGACAGGTATGAATACAGTTACAACAATAGCCAATTATTTCAGTAAAAGTAATAAAAAA